GGATAAATCTTCATTTACACTTTGAGTCCTGTTGTAGTGATGAGCAAAGGACTAGATGGCACTTGAATGATGATGACTGAAAAATATACTGTGTTTTGTATTAAATACTTATGGTTTTATTTTGGTGAACGAAGGAGTGCGAATCAGGAACAATACTTATGTGAAAAATTTGTGTTCTTTGGCAGAAAGGCTATAATTTCCTTTTTTGCTGATGCTTATTAAAATCTTATGCTCAGTCAAAAAGCTTTTACGTGCTTTGGACTGAGGAATGTGAGAAAATTTTTAATTTTTCTGTGTTATTAAGATGAACCTCATTTCTGTCTCCTCCAACTTGGGAGTGGGACTGTAAGATAAGATGGATAGCAGTACCGCATCCGCTCTGCTCTGGGGCAGATGCTTGTCAAGCAGACAAAGCCCTTGATCTTGAGATGTCTGTGTCTGGACCTCGAGCATCACCCACGCCTGAGTGGGGCTCAGCCAGCACTTGTATCTGATATGCACCATTTCCTGTCTAGGATGGAGCCAGAGGGAGAGAGGATGCATGGCCCCAGATGTGCTCCGTGTGCCTCATGTTTGGGGGTGCGAGGGAGGTGCCAGGCAACCTAATATTATTTGCAGGTCAATTTCAAAGGTTCTAGTTTTTATGATAGTTCAGGGAGAGTCTTACCTAAATTAGAAATGAGTAGGAACTCAAAGCTTTGCCTTTGATTTTGTATTTACTGAGCGGTAATCTTGGGAGTGTGGTATGTGGAGGGTTACTCCCTGTTACCTTGCCTCTTCATTTGATTTCTTGTCATGAATGCTTCGTTTTGAAAATATTTTTGTCTAAAGAGTCGTGTGAGGAGATGTATGCTTATGCTGAAGTGCAGGAGATCAAATCAATACAGCCTTCCCAGCTCCCTGCCTTGCCATAGGTCTGCAGCAGAAAAACCACCGGTCTTCTGAAACCTAGCTGTTATAAAAGATGTAAGGAGCTTGATAGTTATCCAAAGTCATTTTCAATTGCAAGCTTAATAGTGACAAACATGGTCCGTGTTTCCTTCTGGACTGTCTCCAGAAGTATTTCAAGAACTGATCTTTTTATTTATGGGTTTTATTTATGGATTTACAGGTCACACAGCCACACAGTTGTCAACTCTTGTGGAAGGAGTTTTCCCCACTATAATAACTATTACACACCTTCCCAGAGCCTTCTTATTGAACACCAACTCCTCCTGCACTCGTCCTTTCCACTTTTTGTCTCACTTGGCACCAACAGGATGCTTTCAGAACTTATCCTATCAGATAGGGAACAATTCACTCAGAACCACTGCCCTTATTTGCATGTATTCAGTGCATTAATAATAATAATAATAGTGGGGCTGAGATCTGTGGAAGAAAATGATGTCTGATGGCAAAGAGATAGCAGAAATCAGCAGAATCATGATCTCAGTGGTATAAAGCCAAAGATCAGCTGATGCCAACTGACTTTTCACCACTGCTGATGCAGCCTCCTGTTTGCAACCTGCAGGGGCTGGCCCATGGTGCAGCTGGAATTTAATCTCTGCTTTGTTGGGCTGGAGCTGGAGGAATGACACCGTGCCACCTCCTGGGTGGCAAGCTGTGTCTCTGGAGTATGCTGCCAGCCCACCCCAAAGCTCCATCCTCAGAGGGAGTGAGTGGCTCTCATTGCAGCTAGCCCTGCTAAGATCAGTGCTGTTGCAGGGCCATAGATAGGGAGAGCTGTGTCTTCCTCCTGGGAAGGCTACAGCTATACAGGTCCACAGCTGTGGTGTTGAGACTGGTTGTAGGAGGTGCACGTGGGGCAGACTTGCATCTTGTGTAAGCAGCCTTGCTGACCTAGAGCTACAAAGTGAGTTTTGAATCTTCCATCCTCTGACCGCTGAATGGTAAAATTGTTTCCTCAATATTTTATTAACGGCTGTTTTAAAATTTAATAGTTTTATTCTGCACTTTTGCACCAGTTCCCAAGTGTGGAAAGGAGGAGTAAGAATGCTTTCCTGTGCTTTTCAAATGGGTTTGTTTAACTCTGTGTTAATGAATGCATATTAAGATCTTATTAGGCAGTTTGTCCATGGGCAAAGTTTCTGTTGATGTCATTGGGGAGCTTCATCTGCATCAGAGAATTGCAAGATCAGGTCATCATTTCAGAAAATGATTGTGACCTCCACTTAATGTTAAAGTGTTTGTCAAGGCAAGTGAAAAGCAATGGGAAGACATGCTCCCAAATTCTGAAATTTTAGTCTACAACCAATAGCCTGAGTTTGGATGTCCAAAAGGAGGTTGTTTTTGAAATAATAATAATTTGAGGAATAATAATAGAATTAGGTTATGCTTAAAATCAAATATAAAATTAAAGGACTGGGAAGCTCCTGGAGTGACTAGCGTGACTGGTGACAGGAACCATCCCAGCTTTATGTGGGATTGGCAGACAGTATCAATGACACAAGGTGGCTGTACCACCTCATGGAGGTGGCAGCAATTAGTTTCAGTTTAGTCATTGTACTATTCCTAGACAGGGCTCTGAATTTATGTAATAATTAAACTCTTAAGTCATTTTTGGAACAAAATTTAGGTGCTTCAGTCACATAGATGGTTCTGAAATGACTCCTGTCTTTCTGTCAGCCATTTCTACATGGCTGATCCTGGAGGACACTGCACCTACTGGCTGCTGTTCAGTTAACGAGATGCTGGAAGAGTCAAGAGGCTGGTGGATATGTGCCAGCAATTGCAGCACAGAAAGGGATGAGCTGATGTGCTTGGGGTGTAACAGAGCTGTTGTGTGCGTGTACCTTGAGCCAGAGGCACCTGGAACTTGTCATCTTGATGGGGATGTGCATGCATCTTCCCTGCAGCTTAGGGATGGGCTTGTTGCTCATTGTTTCTCTGTCTGTTTCTAAGGGATTCCCCTGGGTCTGGTAAAATACCCTGTGGAGAGGGAGGAAAAACAAAGTGGGAGATGGGAGTGTTAAACTGAACCCAAGTTGCACATGCTGGCTGGGTAGCTCAGTCTTCCCTGCAAGAAGGGTGGTGATGAGATAGAGGGATTGGGGCTGCGCCCCCCACCCCAGGCTGTGGTTTCCCCAAACTGTGGGGGCTGGGCTGGGATGAAAAGGAAGATAAGTAGTCTACTTATCTTCTCTTTCAAATGCCTAATATGAGAGAATCTGTCTCTTCTGAATTAGTCCAGGTAACATGAAGAGGTGTATTATTTTTTCATATCAAGGGTGTCAGATATGGATTTGTGATCCTGATACTGCATAATCAATTCTTTCCCCTCTGCTGTGCTCTGTCAGGGATGGTTTCGCTCATTTGCAGTTCTTGTTCACGCTTTCCTTCCTGTTTTGCTTGTCTTCATAGATTTTTATCTGAAAGTTGAAAAATCTTTGTTGATACTGGGAAGATAGCACCGGCTTTTGGGAAGATGTGAGTGACACAACGTGACGATAAAACAGCCATTTGAGATGCATTTCTTAATATTGATAATGTTAAAATGTTTCCTGGAATCCATACAGTGCAAAGGAGAGGTGGGACCTCCACAAGGACTCGGGCCAGTTAATCCCTTCGAACTCTCTCCATCCCAAGGCTAGGCATTTGCTCTAAACTGACTGTTTGGACACCCTCTCTAGAGCATGGAGAGAGACAGTAAAGGACAAAATCCTTTCTAGAGATGTGCATCTTAAATAGTTCTTTTGGATTAGATCATCCCCAGGAACTGGCTGTCTTTTTCCTCTAACAACAAAGAGAGCCTAGGCGACTTAATTTAATTTACTGTCCAAGATTTAGATAGTTACAGTAGGGGAAATGAATCCCCATCCTACTGATTTAACAGTACAAACCTCAATGAATGTTAGTGGGAGTTAAGGCTCTTGAACCTTCCAAGTGCTTTAGATAATGCTGTTATTAAGTTTGATGTTTCCTGTGAGATACTTGGCTGTGGCTGGACTCACAAATGTGATTTTTCAGCTAAGCCTGAGACCAAATTCTTTCTGGCGTAAGGGGAAAAGAGTAGTGTGCAAAGGGCTGAAATTCTGCTTTCAACTGGTGCACGTCCTACAGTGATGCAGTCCATAAGGAACACTACTGTGCAATGATACACCAAATCTACATGATACACCATTTGGCTTCTTTGTTTTTACCTAGTGTTTCAGGTTAGATAGTACTTTCACTTTAGAAGGTATTTGAAAATGCATTAATTTCTTAGGGACACAGAAAGAATCTTTGTAGGTACAATTTACTGTATCTTAAGTCTCTTTCTAATACTAGTGTTTTTGTAGGTTTTCTTGCCCTTTCAAAAGTGGGATTAGTGATGTAAAATGTGACCCTCCAGATCACAGTGACAAAGCTAGTGAAAAATGGCCTTTAGAGCCTTACCAAGCACAGTAGTCTTCTGCCCTATTTTCCTGCTGACATCTTTACCTCCTGATGTGGGGGCCTGTGCTTCAGAAGCTTAGGGGAGCCCTGGGGTCATTCTGCAGCCTATAGGGAGGTTCTGGCCAGGGGGATGTTTGGCCACTAAGGTACTCCATAACTTAATTATGTCCTACAAATGGACTTAATTTGGAGTCTGAAAAATCTCCTTTTGTTCTAGTGATTCCCTGACTTGTCTTATCCCCTTGGAGGTGAGACAGGGTTGCCTTCAGATTAGGTTTCTTGTGTTGAGCTTAAACACAGCATTCTGGGGAACATGATAGCATCATTAGGAGACTGACAGCTGAGCTAGCAGTATTCCTATGGCATACGCTCCCGGTCAATTGTGGGCTGTTGCGTAGTTTTCCTCTCAACTAGTTTTCTAGCAATTCATCCTCATCTGCTGGGCAAGTAAATGCTGCAGTTTGTTACAGTCCCTGCTAAATGGCTTCTTCAAAGTGACAGAGAGACAACCTTTGCATCTCTACCAGTACTCTTCCATGGTGAGATACTGAAGTGCATTTGGATAAATGTTGCATCTTCCTTTTCTCTCATGCTTCCCTCCCCCCTCTCTGTTTTGTTTGTTTCAGGTTCTCGGCCCTTTTGGATCTACACAGTGGAAGTTGCATCTTGTGTATGGCGTGGTTAAGCTTGCAGCCTCTCACCTCGGCCTTCCTCCATTTTGGGCTGGTTACTTTTGTGCTGTTTTTGCATGGTTTGCAGGTGGATGCTGGCCTGACGGGAGACTCTACCAGTTCAGTACAAAACAGCTCGTGTTCAGGATCTTTTGACTGCAAGGAAGGTGTTATCCTGCCAATATGGTACCCAGAAAACCCATCCCTTGGGGACAAAATTGCTCGTGTTATTGTATACTTTGTAGCACTGATCTACATGTTCCTTGGAGTCTCCATCATTGCAGATCGATTCATGGCATCTATAGAGGTCATTACATCACAAGAGAAAGAAATCACGATTAAGAAACCCAATGGAGAGACCACAACAACAACCATTCGGATTTGGAATGAAACTGTTTCCAACTTGACCCTCATGGCTCTGGGCTCCTCCGCTCCTGAGATCCTTCTGTCTCTGATAGAAGTGTGTGGACATGGATTCATAGCTGGAGACCTGGGGCCATCTACAATTGTTGGCAGTGCTGCCTTCAATATGTTTATCATCATTGCCATCTGTGTCTACGTGATCCCTGATGGGGAAACCAGAAAGATAAAACACCTGAGAGTTTTCTTTGTCACAGCTGCATGGAGCATCTTTGCTTACATCTGGTTGTACATGATCCTTGCTGTCTTCTCTCCAGGTGTGGTTCAGGTCTGGGAAGGTCTGCTCACGCTTTTCTTCTTTCCACTTTGTGTTCTTCTGGCTTGGATAGCAGATAGACGCCTGCTTTTCTATAAGTATATGCACAAAAAGTACCGTACTGACAAGCACAGGGGCATCATCATAGAATCAGAAGGTGATCACCCTAAGGGAATTGAGATGGATGGCAAGATGATGAACTCCCACTTTCTGGATGGAAACTTAGTGACTGTGGAGGGGAAAGAGGTAGATGAATCTCGCAAAGAGATGATCCGGATCCTTAAAGATCTGAAGCAAAAACACCCTGAAAAGGATTTGGACCAGCTGGTAGAAATGGCTAACTACTATGCCTTGTCACATCAGCAGAAGAGCAGAGCTTTTTATCGCATTCAGGCTACCAGAATGATGACAGGGGCTGGCAATATTCTGAAGAAGCATGCAGCTGAGCAAGCCAAGAAGAGCACCAGCTTGCATGAGGTGCGGCCGGATGAGCCTGAGGAATTCATCTCCAAAATTTATTTTGACCCGTGTTCCTATCAGTGTCTTGAGAACTGTGGTGCCGTTCTCCTGACTGTGGTTCGGAAAGGAGGGGATGTGTCCAAGACCATCTACGTAGACTATAAAACCGAGGATGGCTCTGCCAATGCTGGTGCTGACTATGAGTTCACAGAAGGGACTGTTGTCTTGAAATCAGGGGAGACCCAGAAGGACTTTGCAGTGGGAATTATTGATGATGACATCTTTGAGGAGGATGAACATTTCTTTGTGCGGCTCAGTAACCTCCGTGTGGTGGACAGTGAGGAACCTCCAGAGCTCGGTAACTGCCCATACCCAAAGGCCATACTGGCTTCTCCTTGTGTGGCCACAGTGACTATCTTGGATGATGACCATGCTGGCATCTTCACATTTGAGTGTGATGTTATACATGTCAGCGAGAGCATTGGTGTGATGGAAGTCAAAGTCCTAAGGACATCAGGTGCTCGGGGTACAGTCATAGTGCCATTTAGGACAGTAGAAGGGACAGCAAAAGGTGGTGGAGAAGACTTTGAAGACACTTATGGGGAGTTGGAGTTCAAGAATGATGAAACTGTGTAAGTACCCTATTCATTCTTGTTCCTCAGTCTAGTTTTGGTGTTTAACCTCACATTTTGCCCCTGTTACAGGTGAATGCTGACAAGGGACAGGCTCCTTTCTTCAGCTTTCCTTCAATTTCCCTACTTACCTCTTTCAGGCAAGAACCGACAGCAGGATTTAAGATCTCAAAGTCTTTTGTCCCTTCCCTCTTGGGAATAACAAAGTGAGGCTTAGAAATACTGCAGGGGACAGGAGAAAAAATATTTCATTTTATGAGGTCCTATACTCATGCTATGGGTTAATGGTGAGTTGAGGTAGAGGAGAAGGGGGGGCTTTTAACTGGCTGGGCAAATATGGGAAAGCCTCCTTTTGAAAAAAAACATAGAGGGTAGAAAAAATCCTTGATATCCCCACGTGAAAATTTTACAACAGTTATTCCCACACAACCAAGAGTTGCTCAGTAGATATGGGGCTTTATTCTCAAATGAACAACACATCATACCCGCGTCCTTAGGCTTCCTGTGCAACTTGCAGGTCTGTGTGGCAGCTAATTCAAAGCATAGCCGCAGCTGCAAGCTGTTCTGCTGGACTTGTGCAACCCTTATAGCATTTATGTCCCCTTGGTCTACCCGTATTCCCCATGTCACCTTCTCTATGATCTCCCTATATCTGTTTTTTTGCTACCTGTGGTTTTTCTCCTCGTAAAATACCATGGCAATTGGCAGTAATGGACTAAAGCACTGCAGCTCACAGCCTGTCCATGTGGCTCTATGACCCAGTGTTTTCATACAGAATTAAGAAAGGAAGCAAAATAGTCTGCACCAGTCCTGTTAATTCAGCTCTTTTATTACGTACAAAGTAGCTGATACGAAGCTAGGAAGTAATAAAGACCAGAGAGGCGATAATGGCTAATTGCTTTAAGTACCTGCTGTTAACATTAGTGGGGAATGAGAAAAATACCTTAGCTGAGCAGGGAGAGGGAGGGGGTGTGAACCTGGTGCTAAAACTCCCTAGTGTTAAGTGCCTAGGTTGCTCTTGTTAACGCCTAATCACTTGAGCCATCAAAAGAGGAATTGTACAGACTTCAACTGGCATCAGAGAAAGGAAATCTTTGTACCCAGTCTCCCTGTACAGTATCCTAAAGATGTTAATGTGTATGTATTAAATGCCATGGAATAGGGATGCCCTAATTCAGAAGCACCTTCTGCCTTAGCCTGCTAAACCACTTAATCCAGCTAATGTACATGGTCCTCATGCTTGATTGTAAGCACGTGTTCTTCCATGTTAAAAGAACAGAAGTTCCTGGTTGGCTGGATTCAACCACAAGCAGATAAGAGGAAGGATCAGCTGTGAATCTGGCCTTTTCAGGGAGATGGGCCAGGCAAGTTAGTCTCCTAAATTGTCCCTCAAGCTAACTGCTCCAGGGAAAGCAAGGAAGAATGTCGACTGTGTGGATGCAGTCTTCTGTGAGACTACATACAGTGTCATATGTACTACCATGCTTCACTCAGATCTTGAAGAAAAAGGGCTTTAAGGTCCATCAGTGAGAGGCTAATATATTTGGGGTACCAGAGAATAAACCCAAGTGCTCCATTTGCCTTCCTGTTGGTAGGAAATTTCTGCTTATCTTAGAAAAGTCAGAGCATACCCACATAGTTGCTCACTTGCATTAAAACAAATTACATTCAACAGGACCACGTATGTTCCTGTAGAACAGACTAATGATGAGGAAGGTAGTCCAGAAAACAGATGTGCTCTGGGTGATTAATTTGCGGCCCAGAGAAGATGCCCCAGAGCACAGGTTGGACCTTTGTGTGGTCAAAACAATGTCCCTACCTAACACATAATGTGTCCTGCACTTCTGTTCAGAAGGCTGCTGGGAACAGTTTCCAGTCCACAGGGAATATGGGGCTAATGGAGAGAAATTTATTTTGAAGTTATATTAATTTTAACTTCTATGTGGTTGGCAACCCTGCCCACAGTGGCGGGTTGAAACTAGATGATCATTATGGTCCCTTTCAACCCAGGCCATTCTGTGATTAAATCAAACTAATAAACAAGGAGATGAGTCTTGTCAGCCTAACCATGTAGGCCTTTATCTATTGTTAGGTTTTGTTTTAACTGTTTAGGTCTTCTGGGAGTGGAGTTTTGGACTGGAAACACGTGAGAGTAGTTTTGGTAATCACCCCTTGGACTTAAACTCAGTGAACACAAGTCAGGTGCTGTACGTTGCCAGTTCTTTGCCGCTGTGCAGGCATCTACAATACTACTTTTCCAGCAAATGCTATCTAGTTTGGGTCATCCCTAGTTTAGAAGGACAGGTGCATGGGGTGTTTGGGGAAATTTTGCAGGTTCAGAGGGCAAAGTTCAAGTGTCTGGTGACTGCATTGTGCAGTATAGGGCTGTATGAAGACACTGGGTCACCAAACAGCTGGAGTTCTGCCTGGCTGGATGCTTTAAAGCCTGCCTCTTAAATGTCTTGCCACTGAGGGGAATCTACCACGAGGTGTCCCTGTGTGTTGAAGGGGAAACTGAGGGTCCACAAAACCCTGGGTAGAAGAGAAAAAACAGTGCTCAGTATGCAGTGCTAAGGATGAGTGGCCTAAAGGCAACAAAAGATCTTGTGCTTCCCACTTCAGCCTGCTGGTCAGACCCTTACTTAGGAAAGGTGAAACTTGAACCTTGTCCTCTTCCTCATGGAAGTCACAAAAGCTTTTTGGCTCAAGAAGGAAGCATGTGAATTGGCAGCCTCATGCAAACATGTAAGATAGTGTTGAGTTTTACTGTGGCTATGCATGTATGCTACTGCCACAAAGAAACGCTCATTGGCCTATGCCAGAAGAGGGCAAAAGCTGCATTTTATACTTAGCTCATTCTCTGATGGGAAATAAGAACCCTCAGATTGCATTCTGCAGTAGCAGGCTACCTGTAAGTAGATTTTAGGTCAGCCTCCTTGAGTGTAGCAATGCTTAAATTAATCTGAGGGACACTGGATTACACAGCATCTTTGTGATCAAACTTTTGGAGGACCACCGCTTACCAAATCCTGAGGACAAATGGTGGCTACAGCGAGTGCTCTCCCTTTAAACAAAGTGGAGAAGGGGTCTTCCCTTAAGTCGATCAGGTAAAGTTAACAATTATTGGACTTGTCCTTAAGAGGCTTTCCCTGAGGTATGTGGGACTGAAAAAAGCTGAGTAGCTGTATGAATTACAGATAAGAGGGAAATGGATCCTGCCGCCGGCTCTTGCTTTCTGCCTCTGTGATTCTTTCTAGATTAACAAGGTCAAAGTTTCCTTACTTACGTTTGGGTGGGAGCACAGAGGAAGTGTGCTGAGATGAGGAGACTCAGAACAATGTCATCATTACTGAAACATGCAGTGTGTGCGTATGAATGTGTATGGATGTTGGATAGCTATAAATCAAACCATAAGGTCTTGAATTCTGTCATCTGGCAAGAAGAGAATTGATCAGGTTTCGAACGTTTGATTCTGCTGCTGCTGCTTTTTCATTACACTTGTGATTTCTGAACTCCTGTTCCAGTGAGGATCAGATATGACCTAATCAGCTGGAGGACATTCTTAGTTCACTTGTTGACTAAAAGGAGGAAGCAAGCCCAAAACTTAGATTTTTTTACAAGATCACCAAACATTTTTTTCTATTAAATAATACTGTGTGAAAATAAGTTGGGTTCTTGGACGTGTGAAAATGTAGAAAGGTGATTGACCATGCGCTTTATCATGTCCAAGCAATACAGAAATCATTAAGAGATTAAGAGCCAGCAGCAAAAAGTGAATTGGATTTTAAAGGATTTTCTTTCTGCATAATAAAGGGAACTCTGAGCAAGTAAGGAAAGAAAATTAAAATTAAGTTTTATTGCTTTGAATTGGTTCCTCTGTTTAAAACTGTTTAAATTCATGTGAAAAATTATCTGTGTCTTGCTTTAGAAATTTTCAGAAAATGTACAGGTTACCAGGAGCTAACGAATATGCCAGCTGGAAGGCAAATTCTGCCATGGCCATGTCATTTGCTGCTGTTAAGGTTTAGGCTGAGAGATCTACTTTGTTGCTTGCCCGTGTTACTGGTTGCTTAATTATGTGTAGGATCTGTAGTCTAGTGGAAGTGTAGCCATCTGCCCTGAGACAATTTTCTCTGAATGTTGCCTGTGGCTCAAGTTGTGCAGGAGATACTGTGATTAAACTGGTATTAAATGTCTTGTGAAGTCAATCTGCAAAGTTAGCATGGCTGGTCTTTGGTACGGCCATTTACGTGTGTTAGGCAGAACTCACAGTAACAAAAGGCAGATAGTGCTAGAGATAAATGCACTGAGGACATCCTGATAGCCAGTGAAATTTTGTTTGATTTTGGCCTTTATGATTTGGAGATGAAGTTGTAAGTTTATACATATCCTTTCCTTGCCTGCTTCCTCCCAGAAAGCCTTGGGCCATCTCTGAGTGCATTCTCAGCTTGGTGGTCCTCCAAAGCAGGAGGCAATGGAAAACCACATGCACTTCCTCCTATTTGGAGGTGTTTGCTAGCAGGGGCATTCATGGGATGTGTTTGTGATTATATATGTGAGGGCCAGAGCTGTGCTAGAGACGGACCTGTTTCAGGTTGGCACTGTGTTCCAGGGATGGTGGCTAATAACTGCCCCAAGCAGCCACCATGTGCTGCTGCCTTCTGTTCTCCATGCTGTGCCACCATGTTTGGTGGGAAGGTCAGTAGTCACTCCTTTGCCTCCTTTCCCTCTCCTGTCCAGCCATGCTTGGACTCGGGGCTACCTAGGCCATCACCTCTTGCTCGTAGCCCTGATATGGTGGATGTTAGCTTCCCCCCATGGATCTAGTGGAGATAATAGTAGGGAAAGGTGAATGGCAGTTTCTGTGTGAAGGATGTCATACTGAGGTTGGGTGCAATTAATTATCCTTCCTTTCTGCCACTTGGTGCTTGAAGAAACTGTCAACTTAATTTGTTAATCTGATCACCTACGCAGTCATGGTTGTGGCATTTTGAGGAGAATGCTATTAACAACACTTAGCTCTTTTGCATGGTGCTTCCTCAGTAGATCTAAAGGCATTTTGCAAAGGAGATCAAGGGTTGTTATTTCCATTTTGTAGCTGGGGGAAAAAAGCAGAGAAAGTCATTTCTCTTCCCTCTGGATTATCCAACAGAGGCAGAGGCAGG